CCAATGGCTCAATATCTCTGAATTTTCAGACATTTTCTAGTCTTCTTGGCTTAGATATATCATCACTTAGTTGTCTCAATACATTCTGTTCTCTTTTCATTCTTCAAAATTCTGTATATGGTCAAAAAAAAAAGTACAGATAGTAGGTTCCTTCCCAAAAAGTCACAAATAGTCACAATAGTCACAAAAAAGTCAAAAAAAAGTCACAAAAGGTCAAAATAGTAAAGTTGTTAATTTCCTGATGTGCTCCATCAAGAAGTACCCTGACAAAAGACAATGTGGACACAATTTTCACTGAGAGGTGCATACATGCTTCATCAAGGAGTACTCTGGTGAAGATGATATGGATACAATTTTGGCTGACAGAGGTCCATATGTGCTCCATCGAGGAGTACCCTGGCAAAGACGATGTGGATACAATTTTGTGCTAGACAGATATTTGACACTGACAGGCACAGGTGGGGGGGTGCAGAGAAAGCTGGGGGAAGCGGGATATGCTGTGATGAGATGTCATTTGGTATAGTTTGCCTCCACTGTCCTTGACAGTGGTATCGACAAGACCTTCTTGACCAGCTGTGGCATGGAAAAAGTACCCCCCTGTGGGGGTCAGACTGCATATGTATGAGTTCTCCACAAATCCCCTCACCTCTGGGCTGAAGTCATCCTTTCCAAGTGAACCAGAGAGTAGGGAGATGATGGGGTGCCCCTTTGGGCAAAAGTATGTATAGCAGGTCAATCCATATGAGCACAGAAAGTTGGTCAGGTACAGAAGGCAAACAAGGTAAGGACAGTTACCTAGGAGATCTCAGTGAGCATGACTGGGTTCATAGTGACCAAGGTAAGTCAAGTCGACACCTGGAACATGGATCACTGCCTTTAAATTGACACTGTCAGTCCCAAAACCTGCTCCATCTTCATCTTGATGCTCCCCTCATCATCTGGGATGGTGAAGAAGGATTCGATGAATGCAGAATCTTTTGCTCCAACTCCCTGTCACTGGCCCAAATGTGTCAATCCTCTGGTGCACGATAAATGCATCATGCATCCCATCTTCTCTGTACATAAGCTGGATGAGGTCACCCAATGAATTGCACACTGTACCATCATAGCAGACATTGCCTGTCTCCACCATTTGACAGTGAGCTCAATAAGACCTTCTTGACCAGCCATGGCATGGAAGAAGGGTTCCTGCCAAATGGTATATGCTTTCACTCCTACACTCTGCTGCCCTACACAGATGGACATTGGTGAAACATTGATATTAACTTTGGATCCTGCAGTGACTGTTCACAGAGCAAGGTTAAGTTGACGCTCAACCATACCTTCAAAATTTTATCTCACTGACTGAACTAGTGCATATTTTGAACTGTGAGCATTGCAGAATTGGCAGTCATAGGGAATGAGGTAGGCATGTCATGGGTGGTCTCTGGATATAGTGTGCAGGAAGGGTGAAATAAATGAGATGGAGGATACCAAGTGGGGAGACAGCAGGACATGCACAAACTGAGAAGACAGATTACTTGCATTCAAGGGTTTCCAGGGTTTCCAGCAAATGCAAGAGTTGGAGGATGACAGGGCAATAAACTGACATTATCATTAGAAATGGTGCACCTGCTGAAAACAATGCCCACCTGAACACTAATCTCTGGTCCATCAGATCCCTCCCAAAATTTGTAGTACCCAGCCTTGGGAATGAACTGCATTTTCCTTTTTCTTTTTTTCCTTTCAGATGTGTGAAGCCAATGAATACACCTCTCTTTGGGTAAAAGTCAGTATGTATAACAAGTCAAACCTACAGAATTACCTAGGAGATTGCAGTGAGTGCAACTGAGTTCATAATGATCTGGGCAACAACACAAACCAGGTGGCAGGAGCAATGTGAAGGCAGGCAATCAGCAAGTCAGATCTGGAGGACAGAATCTGATATGTCACATTCACTTGGGCAGGCAGACTGGCAGTAGCATGGAGCAAAGCACAACAGGCAGGGAAGTAAGTGAGGTAGACTTGCACAGACATGGTGATTGCTGCCACTCACAAACTGATACAACACTATAGAAATGTGTGCTAGGCAAATGATTAGTCCTCATCCATGAGACCAATGACTCCAGCTTCGAGATGCAGTGCATCTGCACCACCTACCAGGTCAATAACTCCAGTTTCATGAGGAAGGTTAACCATTGACTCCACCAAATCAGGTCTTGAGTATTCTAACATGACTGCTGGCATCTCTATCCTTGTATGCAGGTGATGGATCTGCATCCACTGGTGTTTCAAGTGGCAAACTCGGCACAGAGAGCTTGTATGATTTGTCAGAATGGCTCAGGACCTGAAGGTCATGTTGCAGCCACTCACTATCAACATTCCCTGGCAGCTGTGGATAGTGGATGATGAGGTGGGGTGGGCATATTTGGCACAATTGTAAGACTCACCTGCAGAAGTGTGCACATGGCTGCACCGGCACAAGCACCCATCAATCTGGACTGGATGGTATCTGGCAACCAGCCAAGGTGCTGCAAACAGAACTCTGCCAGCAATGCAAGATCAGGCTGACAAGACCTCACAATGGCAATGGGGGGATGGCAACCCTCTGACCATGAGGTAAGAGGTAACAGATACATCACTAAGATCACAGGGTCAGGGAACTCAATGTGTTCCTCCACAATGATATGGGCAAGCTCATGGTGCCTATGTCTGAGGAGGTGTTGAGGATCCATTTGTAGTACCTCACAGATGTTGTCACACCACCTGGCAACAAACTCCATAAACTCCTTGAACTGAAACATGATAGTGGCTTGGAAGAGGGTCTTTCCAAAGCCATAATTTACCAATCAATGGGCAACATCTGTGCTGCACCACTGGCAACCTGTCTAGTGAATTGAATGAGGATGCCACCCAATTCAGGGGGCTGAATATGGCACTTACCTCACTATCTACACTACTCATCAGCATAACAAGGAGGAGGTTGCCCCACTTGAGGCTGGTGCAATTTTGTAAGGTGTCAGATGAATAGAGTTGCATGTCCATGTTTGAACTGACCTACCTGCAAATGATGCAAGTCACACCAAACAGCAGCACATTGTTGTATGGCATCACCATGATGTTGATGAGGGTGCATGACTGGAGGCAGGCAAGTTCCACCTCTGCCTCCCCTGGAGCCTTGTGAGCTTTGTTAGCACCTGGCAGCATGTACAGTCGATGACTCACCATGTGCCAGCTGAAACCAAATGCCATCAACAGCTCTTGAAAGCACTGCACAAGGAGGGGTGGATAGCATGGGCACACAATGTCTTTTCCCCTCTTGAGCTGAGGGCAGTCTGGCCCATCAAAAATGAAGTATGGGTTGAGGGGCACCTGAGAGATGGAAGAAAGGCGATGGAAAATCATTTGTATTTCATGTGACTGTCCTGTGCCAGCTTGGCGCCACAAAAACATGTTAAGCAATGAATACATCCACATACTAGTGGGGCTCATGAGGGATGAAATGGACCATACAAAACAGGCAACTAACCTGGCATTAAAGCCCACAGTGAGCAACTGAGTGCCTGCTCCACCACCACATGTGCCAAAGTTCTCAGTAGCAAGCTTGCCAAGTGTACATTGTCTCCCTGCAGGAGCAAGAAGCTAATTACAGTTAATGTGGCCATGCAAATGAACAACAGAGAAAAAATTACTCACTGGCCACAGTTCAAGCACCTGCATGGTTTTGGAACATGGCAGAAGACTTGTTGGGAGGTTGAGGAGTGTGATGATGTAGAAAGCCAGTTGACATAGGGCAGTGCCCAACTGACAAATAGGTCAGCATAGTCTACTTGCCACTTTAGCATCATGATGGATGGCATTGTGAGAATAGATATACTTGATGCATGAGATCTATGTTTCAAAACTTATGAGTAGAAGAGGAAGGGAAGGAGTTGATGATGCGGCTCAACAACTGATCAGTAAGTGCAAGGACAGTCTTCAGGCCAAGTCAAACCTCCCAGTCTTGAAAGTCTTGAAGCATCAGTAAATCATTTTTGCTGGCCAGAGCTGCCCAGAGCTGTCCAGCACTGGACAGATTCCCTAGGACTACCAGCTCACAAAGTGGTTTACTGATGAGGGGACCAATGATCAGCTCAAGAATGGCTGCATAGACATGACATCCAGTGCCAAACTGCCCAGCAAAGGGAACAGCCAACAGGCTGCTCACCAGACCCATCTGATGGAACTGAATCAACCTTCGAGTGATAGCAATCTGTCAACTGGGTGAAATGTTGGGATAGGCTCACTGACAAGTACTCACCAATGGCAGTGATCAAAGAGCATCGAGTGTTGAAGATGGAGGGCAAAGGCAGGTAAGGGCTCCTGCTGCCATGCACCCCACTAACCTGCCCTAAGCAATTATGTCAGTGCCCTGGACCCAAAAGGCCTCAAGGCTGCAGACTGGTTTGAGCTGCAAAGTGCTGGAAAGCAATTGTAAAGTCCTGTAAAGTGACTTTGCAATGGGAAATGAGTATGGACTTTTGCATCCAGGCTGGCCCTGTTTGCATTTTTGAACCAGTGAAATTAGCAAACCAGTTGTCAGGATGCATTGAAGCTCATGAAGGCCCAGATCCCATGTACTCATGATGGCCCACCAGGAATTATGGTATTATGGTGGCAGGGTCCTGGGTGAGGTGTTTTGTAAGTACATGTTTAGGCAATTCTCACTGCCACACAGGTGCATGCAGAACTGATGAACACATATTGTACATACACTGTGCATGAAGTAGCAGTCTACTTTCCTGCTATTTCTTCCAGCCAGATGGCCCCATCTGTACTGTAGCAAGTTGATGGTCACCATAAAAACAGACTTAGAGTTGTAGGGTCTGCTGCAATGCTCTCATGAAAATGTCATAAACAGAGGTCTGAGTGCTGAGCAGTGGAATCAACACTGTAGACATGACATCACTGGCACCAAGTCAATCAACAACACCTGTGCAACCCTGCAGTCCAACACCAGGCAGGAATGATGACCAAATGAACATTGGACATGCTGGACACCAAGTAACACTGAGTGATCACAATCTCCACACAGGAATTCGAGCACCTCAAGCTGCTGGGTCATCATATTTGATAAGTACAGCAGGCAGTACACATACCATACTAATATTATACTATGCTATGAACCACATCTGTAAAACCACTGAAATGAATGCTTAACTTGACAGCCTTACAGGTGGTTACATGGTGTGAGATCATGACTTGTGATTGGTGGAGATCAATGTAGTTCCACTTGACATCTCTGAAGGGTAATAATTACAGAGATAAGATGTAGATATCATGATTATGGGGATAAGATACAAGAATCACTTGGCTACAAGGGACAATCAAGTTGGGGCAGTGGCAGCCCTTCTACTATTGTGATCTACAAATGACTACTCAGCCAGAATGTGGTATGTCTCTTTATCTGCAAATTTGTTTAAATAATATTGGTCGTATGCCTCCATACAAGTCTCACTGCATGCATCCACTCCCAGAGGTACTGTGTTGTAGACAGGTAGCAGTTCCACAGCATGAATAACATTGGTCAATGGGATGATGCCACTTGCACCTGTGGAAGAAGGGGGAATACATTGAACTCTGTATAGTCTGATGCCAGGATTTTGCTCAGGCAGCCAGACAACGCGAAAATAATGGACATAAATGAGAGGGACAGGGCCAAGATAAACAGGAAGTTCCTTCTTTGTCTTCAGCATGAATATTGCCTGCACCTAAGCAACATCTAGGAAAAGAGTCAGTAATGTTTTCTTGGAGTTACAATGTAGGGTATGCATACCAAAGTTCACATCATCATTCACATGCTTCAACAACACTGCATCACAGTTTCCAAGAGGGTGAGAATCTGAGGGAGGGAAGGCCTGAACAACCTGGCTTCTGCATATGTATTGTGTCTGGAATGATGAGTGCAGTTGAATGCAGAATTTATTCCATTGAGAAATCATGCCATGAGCATCCCAATGCTTGGTCAGACACCCACACAAAGCAGCAGAGATGTAGTCAGATATTACCTGTGGGAGGTCTGGGAGTTCATATGTCACCTGCATTTCAGATACCATCAGTGTTGCACAGTCAGGGAGGACTGTGATGTGGAACACAAATGCTCTACTTGATGACAACAAGCATTTGGGGTTGTTGAAGTGATTTCAAAAAGGCTGAGGTCTTTGGAACATAGTCTCTTTCTCCAGAAGAACACAATTGATAAAAGATAATGCCAGGTCCACACTGGTAACTTCCTCATTTTCGACCATAATTGCAGTGTCAAGCACCAAATCTGAACTGCAGAGTAAGATGTAAAGGTTGAAGGAGTGGATAGTTTCCTTGCAATTGAGGAGCTTGACAACTTGATCAATGAATGTGTTGCTCCATTGGTTCATCCACTCAAAGGGTGTCTTGCAGTGGGTGATCAGGAGCTGCTCAGTCACATCTGCTGTGTATTGGATGAGAGTGCCATTCTCCTTGATGTGGCAAGCAAAGGTGTGCATAAGTTCCAGTTTCATGATGTTGAAGTTGTCCATGGAGCCCTTGGCTCCTCTTCAAGCCCCTGCATCAAGAATGGAGTGTTTAGTGGCATGGAATGCCTGCAAGGTGGCAGTCGTCGATGCAATAGATGAGTCAGTGTGGATAGGTTGTTGTGCCCTATAAATGAACTCCACCATGGAGCAAATAGCATAGACGAATAGAGGCAGAACAGCACCATCTAACATGGGGATGATGGTCCTCTCAATATCACAATGGTCTCTGCCCATCATCTGCTTCACATGTGAGATGCCAGAAGCAAAATGCCTGATGCCAACATGCTTGTGTTGAATCTTGTATCACATATCAAGCAGGTGATTGCTGGCAGCTTCCTTGGACCATTTGAGAACATGGTCAAAAAAGAACTTATGACAAGTGTGGAGAATTTCCCCCACCAAGAAGTGTGCAGGGTCAGTGAACTTCCAGTCCCTCCAGAAAGGGTGGTGTACACCCAGTAACTTCTCTGCTTTGGCAGCCTTCTGGAAAGAGGGGATGTTCCACACCTGGGTATGTGTACACAAATTGACAATCTGCTGCAGCATGTACAAGCCAGTTTGTGGATTTTGGGGTACACTGTCACCAAAGTTGGAGAGTACTGTGGTGGTGATAGGGGAAGCATTTTTGGCAACACAAGCAACTAGCTGTTGCTTGGGAAGATCTGCAATATATGTGACTAGAGGGGTAAAACAGTTTTGAGTAAAGCCGGTTGGGTCTGTGAGATTGATACCATCTGATGTGACTGTCTTGAGAGAGGCAAAAACAATGTCCATACACTGGTGAAAAAGGTGTGAAGTAAGAATTGTTTGGAAATCTGGGTGAACCTCAAAGACAGGAACTGGCATGAAAGCAATGCAGTGCCATGCATGAGATGATGCCTGCATCCTCACATCAGACTGGATGTTGCCAATCATAATAAAGACCAGGTGCATTTCCAGCCCTCCAGTGTGCCTTGTCACTGGTGTTTTGTCAGAGGCAATAATGATGGGAATGATGGTTGCACCCTGAGGAAGCTGCACCTGAAAAAAAAAAAAAAAAAGTGACAAGGCAGTCACCAAGCATAATCTGTGATTGAGTGAAATTCAACACCAGAAACTTTGCCAGTTCCCATTCACCCTCATCCACAAAGGGATAGTACAGTTGATCTTGATGTTGTCTTTCATGTTTGCTAGCCTTCATCTGGTCAAGGAAAGTGTCACCTCTATTGTAGATATATCCAGAGGTTGGATAATAGTGACCCATAATGTCATTCTCCTCAAATCCATGCTGGAAGGCTGGTGGTACAGGAATGTGCTGCACTGGGATTGCATCAGTACAGGCCCCCCCTTCAGTTGAGGTGATTTAGTAATGCAGTGGGTGAAGGAAATATTGCCTGACATCCAGGACAATCAAAGGTGATGCTGTTACCATCATCGCTCATAGATGCCATGATACTACAGACAAGAGGTTAGTGTTGCTTGTTACTCTGAAATTCTCTAAGTCCTTCAATTTCCAACAGAAACTCTGCTACATGGCAATGATAACATATCTGGTGAGAGTACAATTATGACTGCTATGTCTGCTGGCACTGTACCCTCAGTCCCCCAACTGTCATTGTCTCCACACTCCTCATCCGAGCCTAGTCCAAAAACTGATTTCTCACCACTGCTTGTTCATAATGATGTCCTTTTTTCACCACTGCACAAACGTCCAAGCCTGAGCCACTTTGATAAAGAGAGACAAGAAGAGCTGTTGAATGCACTGCCTGGAAGGAGCATTGTATCACCAACTTCATGCTCTTCCATGTCTCCTCATGGCTCAAGTGCCTCTCTCCAGAGGTGCATCCTAGAGGCACAAAGCCACATGCATACCAAGTACCACCCATACAGAAAGCAAGCAGCCCCACCCCCCCTGGAGCTTCGCTTTGCTGCAAGAACCACTGATTTGTCACTGGAAGATGTACACAAGGTAAGTTATTGTCATATGTGTGGGGCACTACTAATGAATGAAACCAAGGGACATGACTTTCTACATCATGGTTTGTCACAATTGCCTGACAATGTTCTTGTCAAAGCCATACTTGCAAAGCATGCATTCTGGGATTGTATATCACAGCAGGTCTCTCAGACCTTGGCAGAGATAGAGTTTATTGAGCAGCAGAGGGATTTATTGACTGAAGTTCACACAGCAGCTTTGGAAACTTGGGCAACTGCTGAAATGCAGTTGGCAATGTTGATGGATATTTTCAACCAACATGACCTGCAGGATGCCAAAGATGACATGGCATTTTACCATGCTGTATATGCTGATGAACTTGTCACATTCACAATCGCAGCAACTCAGACAGAACAGTTGGAATCTTTCATGGATGAGAGGTTGCCATCCCCTGACAAGCATGTCAAGGACAACCCTGACCATGATGATGATACTTGTGGGATGCTGTTCACAGGGTTACTATCCTCTGACAATGATGAGGCTGAATAACAGCATGTCTTCACTTAATCTTCTGACTCATGACTGACTCAATATATTCATAGGTTGCATAGTTACATCTTGTGAAGAATTTGTACCAAGTATTGTGAGTTCAAACTGTTTCAGTCAGCATTGCAAATTTACTCATCTGACATACTGATAGGTAGATAAGTTTACACTTCTTTTTTGTTTTGTTACCACACTCTCTGTATTCATTGGTGCTTTACTCGCTGAAATCCATCACCTTATTCCTGTTTGGTCATGCCTGATTAAGATGGATTGCAATGGATAAGTAGCTTGCAGCATCTGCCATCCACTACTCTGCTCCTCTGACTGCCATGTCAAGACATAGGCCAAACAGTAACAGGGTATGTTTTATCTATCTACCACTGTGATGATCCTAACATTTAAGAAAGGCTTTCCCTAGGCTGCCCATGGTGTGAGTCAAAGTGTGGTTCAGTGGTGAAAACCAACCAAAACCAACACAAAAGACAAAAAGAGCAAGTGGTGGTGTGCCTATGCAGTACCTAGATGGTAGAACCTTTGATTTGGGTGGTTTTTTTGCAAGCTACAACACTCAAGGACAAGTGCTGAGCATTGGGGGTGCTCCTGACAAAGAGGGAGCAAGAATGTGATAGAAAGTGATAGGGTAGACTGCTGTCAGCCTACAGAAGGATGGATGGCAGCTTGATTCAATGTCCTAAGCTGCACCAAGCTCAGGGAGGGCTTGGAGTGAAGTATATTGATGATAGACAAGGATAAGTGAAGTAGATGATAGTTAGACCCTTAATAAAGTCTCAACTATCAAAGCTGCTGAATGAATTACTGAGTGATGATAAAATGCGAGCAAGAGGGGCTCTCTGATGTCTTCTTTTTTTTTTTTTTGCTATCTAAGTACAGTGATTTATATACAGTACAGGGGTGTTGCCCTTGGAAAACAAGGTGCAAACACTTGGTAAGTGATTGGTAACTGATGAGTAAGGAATGTAAGTGATGGGTAATTGTCTTGGAAAGCACTGGTAAGCATTGGTAAGGATTAGCAAGCCAAAAAGCAAAGAATCAGTAAGCAAAGTCAAAAGATCGGTAAGTATTGGCAATAGGTGAGTCAAAGACAGTCAGAACATCAAAGTATGAGTCAAGTGATGTCAGGAACTGGGGAAGCACACTGGAATCACATTAGGGGGAGGCTGTGCATGTCACATCTCAAAGAGATCGCTTCTAGACCAAGGTGGGATGACAGAGAGGCAGCACTGATCTGATGCCAATATAGTACATCCAAAAGTGGACAGGGTGAGTCAGATGTCAACAGGGGTCAAGCTTTGGGGGTCTGTGGGGTGACAGGAGCATAGGGGATCACAACCTTCCCCCCCAAACCATCCTCTCAGTGAAGCAAATAAAAACTTCATGAACAAGGCTCTGTTGGAAGAGAGGATGAATGGGGAGTGTCTTCTGCTGTATCTTGCAACAAGGAGGCAAGATGTGCATCATACTCATCATGGATGTGATCAGGGAGAGTGGGGAACAGTAGATTATACTGTAGCTGTCACAATCTTGGAAGAATGATGGACAAGACTGGTATGAAGACATTGCAGGGAGCAGGGAGGAAGGATCCATATGCTTCTTGGACTGGAGAGACTGAAACGACCACATAAGACCTTTCCAAGTGAATGACAGACCTGAGGCGACCAAAGAACATCCTCCTAGAGGTCATACTGACAAAAAGAATGTGCTGTCCAAGCTGGATGGGCTGAGAGGGCACAGATGAGGGTGGGATGTACCAGGATGCTTCAGGATGGAAGCTGGTAGGAACTCCTGGTAGATATATGTAGCCATGGTCCCTAGCAAAGGGGACAAGTGAAATGATTGATGTAGAGGCAGCCATATCAGAAGCAGTTAGCGAAATGAGCATCTTTTGGAGGGAGTGCTGTAGAAATGTGTGGAGTGTGCAAATCCTTTCCAATTTTGGAAGGTAAGATTGCATGGCTGAGCACTACAAGCAAGTGTGAGAATGGCCTCTGTATCTGCAGAAACAGCAGAGATATGTCAAAAACTGGAATGCCATACACAGGCACTTAAGAATTTTAGCCAGCACTTAACTCACTCCCTTTCTTTTTCTCTGGCACTGATGACTTGTTCTTGTGCAAGGGATGACTGCCAACATTCCTGGCTGTCCTTCTTCACATGAGGGCTATGGTCTTCATCTCCATTCATCAGCTGTATCCATGTCCACCTCACCAAACACCTTTGGTGTGTGACAATGGGGTCAAACTTGAATCCCAGTGGCAACGACATGTCAAGCCAACTAAACCTCAAGGGCAAGCAGGCCATGGATCCATCATTTCTGCATCAGGGACCAGGGTACCTAATGATGAACCCCTATCCCTTCAATTACCAGACTCCATCAATGACTGAACCCCATCAACTGTCATCTAGCACCTGGGTAGACAGGCTCTCTGCCCATGCACCACCTGGTGGCCCATCTGTGGGCAGTTACCACACCCACCACTCTGCCCATTCACCACCTGGTGGCCCATCTTCAGGCAGTTACCACACCTATCAAGACACTCACCCACCCACCTCCTTACTCAGCTCTGCCCAAAGGTACATGCTGGCAACCACACCAAGTTGACCAGGTGTGCAATCCACAAATAGATATTCAAACTCACTCACCAACATTATCCATGTAAGTACACTGTACTCATATTTGACTAATTTCTAATAGCTCTTAGACTCAAGGTGATCAGGAGATCAGTTGGCCTCAGTGCCAACACCATGTCACAATGCCTCTGACTCCACCTCCTCCTGCATCAGTGGGTGCAGTTGCCAATGCAACTGCACCATCTGATGGCTACATGGCCAATGCTGCACTTGTTTCTGTGACAGTAACCAAACAAGAGTGAGGGCAGATTGTGGACCAAGCAAAAAAAGATGTACAAAAATACATGTTTGCTGTGGATGCTGTGCCAACAAAGAACATGCACACCAAATGTGTGAAAGCAGCCATCCAAAAAGCCACATGCACTGTCATTGGAGGAGGTATGTCATCACCTGCAGTATGTTTCCCTGGCTGATATCTTCCTGACTTTACCAAGTTCATCATGAACCACTACATATAGATAATGATGTAATTGGTGCAATGACAGCAATCTGCTGGTCATTCAAACAATACACATTCTGTCATGTCCAACATGACTATGGCCTTTGTCTTCCATTAGGGAGTGTCCATTCCAGAGTTGACCACAAGAATGTTCAAGTCCAACAGCTCCTCACTGATCTCACTTTCCTTAAACCCTGGCATTATCAACCAATGGTATGTGCATGTTCCTATAATTCTTATGTCATCAAATGACTCCAGTACTCTAGCAACCAACAGAGGATCCCTATACTGCAACAAATGAAGGCCTATTTGAGCACAAGTTATTCATGGATATCATCATCAACATCCTCTTCCTGAGCCCAGGACAGCTATACAAGGCCATCAACAAGGACTCAATGGATCCCCTTTGCACTTTGGCAGGAACTGCCATCTATGCTGCCCTCAAGGATCATCAGAATGGTGTGTATATAGAAAGTGCCATTCACACAGATATCTGGTGTGATGCATACTGTGATCTTATGGCTAGCATTTCTAAGCTGCAGGCAAGTGCTGTTGAGAGTGCAAGATTGTCTGAGATGCAGAGGGCAATCATCAAGAGAGGTTACATATTGATTGATGTACAATGATTTCGTTGCCGACATCAGTTGATAAGATCACTTCTTTACATCTAGTCTGGCTAAGCTGAAGATAATCTCCAAATAAGTTGAAACCCGCTGCCAATGTATCACGCCCTGGACTACTCCCAAACGGGAATCCGTAAGCACTCGTATACGACGTTTTGCGGAATTTCGGTTCGCTGATGCACGACCGTGGTCTGCCAAGGCTGGGGGGTCTAAGCGACGTCGACGTCGAGGTTGCGCGACCCTCCGCTCGGATCCTGTTCGGAACGTAAGTCCATTTTCCGCTAACCGCTAACCACCATTGAACGTTTTGCTTCCGCGTCCCGACGCCATCCTGCATGATCGACGATGCCGGTGCCGTCACGAGCGGTCAGTCACTCCGAACGGCCGTCCCCGCCGCCGAGGGCGAGCCGCTGTGGCTGAGTGGCCGACTCAAAATTTGCAGTTCACACGCACTGCCACCTGCGAATTTTCCGGAATAAACGTACATAGAAAACTTTAATATCACAACAACATTTCAATTACAAGTTTAATTGCAGCCATTGCAATCGCTTGCAACCCATTGAGATAATTTTACAGATTTTCCGACAATCACTAGTGTCGGTACAAGTCGATGAGCATGACAGTGCATCTCCAACAGATTGCGTCGCGCTACCGTCCGTCAGTCAGGGAGTGAATGAACTGCTGCCGAAGGAACAGAGAATCGAGCTCTAGTGGAGCGCTTTCACAGTCCCATCACCCAAAGTAGGTCGTCAAGGCGAACATAACATCCTATGTGGACATCGTGTCAGCATTTATTCTACTGGCATTCGATATGGGTGCCACATATGTAATGGCCTAACAGTGCCGGAGGCGAGGAGATTTATATCGGGCACTGAAGCGGGCCACCACTACTGTACAGAGGGATAACAGTGATCCGCGCTGTCGTTGGGAGGTGGTGTAAGCAAGTCGGGGCATGTTCGATTCCATCGCTTCGGTAATGCCTAGACGCGATGAAGATGTATGTTCTGGGCCTTAGTCTCTTGGTTGCGAATCATGCGGGTGAACATGTTCTGTCAGGTAAGTGTAATATACAAAAACACACGTATAACCACACTGTTCCACAAGCGCTGTCTGATGCAAATGTTCAATCAAGCCCCTCCAGATACCCCAAATTGACACCTTCAGAGAGATCAAGACCGACAGAATGGAGTAAGGCAGCGAACTTAGAGGAGTCACACTCAATCAACCTGTTGGTGTCACGCGAGACAGGAAGAGGCGAACCTGGTCCAAGTCGTATCGCAGTCGGTTGTTGAGCACGCCGCGTCTCGTAGGTCTCCGGAGTGGTCATGGGTGTTGTGGTACACGGGGTGAGCAACTGAAAGTAGTAGAGTCAGTCGGCCCAGACGGTGTACTACTGGGTATTTAAGATCTTACTTGGTCCTGTACGTTTGGAGAGTTAAGTTTCAGGAATTCACAATCCTTGTTCTTGCAAAGACTTTCCACCGGGGGAATACGAGAGTTCATGTTCACACAGAAGGGTTGGGAAGGGCACGCTATCCCACCTAATGATCGCTCCGCAAACAGTGATCAACCCAACTGTGGGTAAATGTTGGCGACAAACTTACGATTGTCGGAAGCCCAGTTGAGGAAGTTCGTAGGGTACATGGTGCACAAGCATTCTGCCTGAATCATGAGAATGATATCCGCACCTCTCACACGTAGTTCCCCCTTACGAATCATCGACGAGTCTGTGATTTGGAGAAAATAGCAACGTACTAGCATATGCCTATTGATCCCAATAACCCTCGGTCTTCTCCGGAAAAGGCAACTAGTTCGACGTCACCCCCAAAGGTTATACCGCTTCAGTTTATCCGTCGTGCGGTGATGTTGAGAATTGTGATTGTTCCTGAACCGTCGTCGTTTCCGCCTGGTGCCTAGGAAGTGGAGCATGTTTGAGGGAACCGACAATGTAAGTTCCCACTCACGCATTCCATACCGAAAGAGCCACAGGAATCATATTAGTGTCTGGAGATTTCCTAAACGACATTGAGTCCAAAACCCTCTACAAACAGCATGAACCTGCATGCTTCACCGGTATCCTCGAACTGTGTCTTCAACCACTCTGGAGCGACCCTCGAACAATGGTGGAACAAATGTCTAGAAGCAATGCCTGACGCATACCATCAGGTCAATTGAGTACGACCCCTCAAGTTCGTTATGTTACTTCATGCTGCCGATTTCGATTTCCCTGAAGGTATCAATGTAGAGCGTTTGGAGAAGCTTGATTAAATATTGTATCGCGCATGTAGTGACGTCACAAGTGCGGAAACCCAGTCGAGGACGTTCATCGGGAGCATGGCACACAAGCATACTTGGCTGAATCATGAGAGTGATATTCACGCCTTTCTCACGCAGTTCCCCCCTACCAAGCATCACCAGGACCGTAAATCATCGATGAATCCGTGACTTGGAGAAAAGGTAACATACTGGTGCATGCCTTTGATCCCAATAAGCCTTGTGCTTCACCAGCAAAGGCAACTTGTTCAACGTTGCTCCTCGAGGTTATTTTTATCCATCATGCGATGTTGAGAATCGAGATCGTTTCTGACCGGTACCTGGGAAATGGAGTATGTTTGAGGGAGCTAACAACACCTGTAAAGATCGCAACTCACGCGTTCTATACTAGAAGAGCCACGGGAGTCATAGTGTGCGGAGATAAGTACGGTATCAGAACTTTCCGTCTTAGCATCAGATCGGCTGCAGTTCAGTGTCAGAACATTACACTGTGAACCTCGTGATGACGCGGAAGTTTACCAAATGACATTAAGTGCGAAGCCCTCCAAGAACGGTATGCACCTGCACACCCCATACACATCCTCGAACTGCATCTCCAACGCCTTGGTAGCAACCCACAAGCCATGGTGGCACGAATGTCTGGAGAAAATGCCCGACGATCCGTCTTCATTAACAAGGTATCGGATGTCCTTGAGCATCTGTTCCACAAAGATTCCGTTGACGGTGCCTACTTCCAGAGCGGCGAATCAGAGGGAAACAAGGAGGTCGTGAACGCGCTCGGTTGCAGTGAGAAATTGGAGTGTATGATACAGGCAAAACGTCCTGGAAGCGAAGCAGACGAGTGGACAGAGGATACGTACAACGACAACCCTGGAGTTGACGATGCAGTAGACAAAAACTGGGCCAGACTACTCGCCTGCAAACAGGACAGTGCTCAACAGCGGTAGCACATACATTACAGTCTTTCCGATACCTGAAGTCATACACTGCGTATGCATGGGCCTTCCCGGCCTCGGTTCCACTGTGCAGTCATACGTGGGTGAAACAGCCCAAACGTGCAGTGAAACTAGCATGTACACCTGCAACTCGGTAGCAAGCGTAAACTGCAGTCTCCACTGGACGACCTATGCAGTCTACCCCATTTCAACATCAATTGCTTCAACGAAGGACTCCGCTAGGAACAAGTTGACCGGTGGACAGTGGGTAAGAGGCAAGCGGTGAGACCCGTATGACTAAGCACATTGTGACTGTGCGCTCACCCTGGCCCGGCCCTACTCCACCGAACATGTGAAGCTCGGTGTTGACGGTCGGCAGCCTGAACACTTTCCCATCACCTCTTTCTTCGAATTGCCACCTGCCAGTACGCTCGTCGTCTCGCCCACCTGTTTTCTCCCTTTCTCCACCCTCCACACCCTCATTTCATAAATTCAAATGTTATTTTCCTTTCTTGTTCCCTCAGTAACCGCTATGACTACATGCCGGTCAACATTTCCTCGTTAGCCACTATCGCATGCCCAGCTCAACCACTGACAGAGCTTAGTGCGACATGCGCGAGACGAGGCTTGACTCTCTTCCACCAGACATGTGAAGCTCTTGGTGTAGACGGTGCGCACATTCCATGCCAACTACCAGCGATACGCCGTCCATAAGCTTGTATACAACAGATTACCACAGTTCTTGGCCTCTCCAGGTGTGTTCACAGATGCGTCCATTACCTGCCGGTTGCTCCTTGGCAAGATCATTCAACACCCCTGTGTACTCGAAACTTGATGCTTCGTAGCGGTCCAGCACTCCTTCGACCCACCCTTCGGCACGTCTACCAGCTGCTGTCTCTCCTGTGGGCCAGTCTATCATCCACCTTCCGACGGGGTACCATACCGCTGAACGCATTGCATTCTGGACAGGGTCGTTGAAGACCAACAGATTTTTTGTCACATTATCGACGTCCGCCCTTCAGTGGTCAAGCTTTTTATATTGATAATGTCTCCTTCGGAAAATGATGTCAGTCCCTACTACTATGCCTCTTAGCTAACAACCGTTATTTCTCGCAGATGATCTCCCCGTCATAGTAGTCTATGCCGATATCGACGCCGGATATCGCTTTTCATTAGCCTCGGATACTATGACGGCCAAGGACGGGTGCGATTGTCTGGCGGACACTCCAACCCGGGAGAAGGACTGGAAAAACATTGCCTGGAAAGCATATCGTCGAATGTGGGATGCATGTGCGGGACATGTTCGGAACATGCTTAAACAAAAATACTTCTCTTGCCACCTCGTTAAGTATGACCGCCTTCCCCGATCAACCTGGGATGCGAGGGTAGTGGTAGTCGGGGATGGACAAAAGGCGGACAATTCAAGGTTATGGCCAATGTCGAGAAATGTCCTGGATGCTGCGATGCAACAACGTTTTTTCTAAAGGTTATACCAGTTTTCTCGACCTGTCGTGCGATGGTGGGAATCGAAATCGTTCCTGAGCCGTCGTCATTCTCACCTGGCGCTTGTGAAGTCGAGCATGGTGCAGGAACCAACGCCTGTAAGAGTTTCCCAACTCACTCGTTCCATACCGAAAGAACCACGAAAACCGTAGTGTCCAGAGATAAGTATGGTAACAGAACTTTCCATTTTAGCATCATATCGGCTGTGGTCCAATGTCAGAACATTAACAGCGTGGACCTCATGTTGGCATGGAAGCTTACCAAACGACATTGGGTGCGAAGCCCTCTAAGAACGGCATGAACCGGCACGTTGCACCCACATCCCCGAACTGTGTCTTCGACCACTCGACAGCGTCCTTGCGCATCTGCGCCAGAGATCCCATCGACGATGCCTGCAACGAGAGCGTCGAACCGAAGAGAGACGAGGGGACCACGGACACGCTCAGTTGCGGCATCTGGGACAGGGAGGTACGATACAGGCTATGCAGGGGTGGGCGAAGCTTTCCAGAACCGAGGTAGACGAGTAGACAGGATATGTGCAGCGCCCTGGTCAGCAATGGCGACAACGCCGGAGTTGGTGGTGCGATGGATTAGAGAAACAGGGCTAGACTTCTCGCCTTCAAATAGGACGGTCTGCCTGTCGGGATACGCGATATGCTTCTCCTAGAGTAGCCAGTCGACAAAGTCCACAACTTCAGCCTCGTACTCGGGCGTCCGGAGGGAGTGTGGACGAATGACTCTCGTATCCAAACCAGTTGTTGCAGCCCGTCCTCTGGCAAGTATCAAGGAACTACTGAGCCTTCGTCAACGGTGTTCGGGAGCAACTCAAAGCACGAGGAGTCGGGCACCTTGAATACGCACTGCTGGCCGAATATCTCTATAGAAATTGTTCGCAAGCCACAGTGGAATGTTGGGGCGAACGTCCGACGCACGCAGAATGGCGAGCAGAGCGACGTGCGTCGCTGGGTTCAGAATCATCCCGTCTGAATAGGATGCATGGGTGTCACAACTTAAAACAACCACATCAAAGTACAAATATTTCACTTCTTGCCCATCAAGTTGGCAGCTTCTATCGACTTCATTGGCACCATTAGCACTTATCCACCAGGAACTTGCCAAGCGCACTAGAAAGGAAATCGAATGAAAATGGCACGCAGATAGGCATTGAAGCCTACGTTGTTGAGAATGTAGACGCGGACGAGACGCTGCGCACTGATGGTGATGTTAGAAATGATCTCTCGATGGTGTGGCCTTCCCTGGGTCTTAATCGCCCTATGGATAGTCAGATCGTCATATAGGTTAGCTGTCCACATCTCATTCTCATATTCTTCTAACATCCAAAATGATCGCAGACAATGCGACTGCTGGTCGGATGCTCGCCTAGTGACCATAGATCACGTCAGGATGTCCTCATTGAAGGCCCACCTATGATCCGTCACGCACGAAATCCAACAAAGTGAAGATTGGGTACTGACTCACACGCTCATACCCAAGTTCATCCCTGAACGTTTGAGTGGCGAACGCTTCCTTGACCACCCCAAGAAAATGTCTCGGGATGCTCACAGAACCGAAGTACTCTACAGAAACTATACAACCGTGCCATCATAATACACACAAGCGAAAGGCACAGACTTTGAGACGGATCGGATGCACTGCGATTTATACGTTGGGGACCCGAGGTATTTTTTATACAGGTTCACCTCACCCCCGTTCATACCAGCTGTTGCTGGGAAAGAGCATTGAACACTGTTGCATACCCAAAACTCGATCTTTTGACAGTGGTTCAACTTTCTTTCGGCACGTCTACCAGCTGTCGTCTCTCCTGTGAGCCTGTATACCATTAACTTTCCACGACGGGAAACCATATCATTCAACTTGCTGCTTCCCAGACAAGTCGACCCATCATTAATAGACTCTTTGTCACGATACCCTAACCCACCCTTGTTACGAGGAGGTACACGGGAGCAAACGAGCACCTCGTCGAGCCGGGCTCTACATTACCGACGTCCGCCTTTCACCGATCACGACTCCTGATATTGATAAAGTCTCCTTCGGAAAACATTGTCAATCCTGTCACTATCCCTCTCAGCTGTCACGACACCCCAGAACCTCGTGGAAAAGGGAACAATGGAACATCAGAGAGACGGGGAATGACGGAACCGCGGTCACGACCAGTCAGTGACGGGTTTAAACAGGTTTAAACCATTTTTTCGCTTCCTGATGAAGTCGTCCTTCCGCGTTTACCCGGGTTGCTCCCTCTCGCAGATCCGCGTCCTTTATTGTTCAGCCCACATGACGCCATTCCCCACTAATCCGCGAGTGTTGCACAGAGGAACTTCGCAACAAGGGCAATTTGTCCCTAAGCGAACTTCTTGTCATGGTTCGTCGTCTTCACATCTCCTGACCAACGTCAGGCGTGCGTACAAGAATTGCGTGTGCATTTTGTCTGCCCATGCTTGGATCGCAAATGGCTCCGTCAGCGAGGACACAGAAGATCCTAGAGTGTCTCGTTGCCTCATGTTCAGCTGTGTAATTGTCGACACCGAGCGCCCGCCGTCACTGGGATTAGGGTACTTTTTCGCATAGCCATCGAATAGCCACAAAACCTGGCGCTCAAATGTAATGCTGTACTCCTTCATACTTAAAACCTGTGACCAGCAACCAGTATCAGTCTTCTATTTGCCTTCCGTTGTACACTAGAAGCTGACCACGTGGAAGAATAGCCTGTGCGCTCAGAGTATGTGAGATATCTAGTTGACATTTTGAACTTTGCATTGACTTGTGGGGGAGATGAAGTTACTAGGTGTGACAGTTGTTCTCGACCGAGAAATGCACATCGAGCAGACCAATCCCAAACGTGAAGTGCTGAAGGAGCTCGACGACAAAGGTACTCGTTATGCGATACTATCACATCGCTGGGGCGCAGAGGTCAGTTACGAAGAGATGACCGGGCTGATGAAGATGGAGAAAGGTGAGAGGGAAGAGGTCAGGCAGCGCACCGGCTACCGAAAGATCATCAAGAGCTGTGAGCAAGCGAGGATGGATGGACACGAGTGGCTGTGGATTGACACTTGCTGCATCGACAAGCGGAGCAGTTCGGAATTATCAGAGGCCATTAATTCAATGTATCGGTGGTACCAAAACGCACAGGTCTGCTACGCATACCTCAATGACGTTGACGAGTTACCACGGTCCACTGGGCCATATGACTTCCCCATGTTTATCTGCGGGCTCAACGGCCCAGAATGGTTCACGTGGGGCTGGACACTGCAGGAGCTCATCGCACCGAGGGAACTCGAATTCTTCAACAAGGACTGGGCGCCCCTTGGCAACAAACGACAGCTAGCAGCCGTCTTGGAGGACATTACAGGAGTTCCACATGAGGTTCTGAGAGACGGCCTAGGTGCAAAGCCTCTCAGTGTCGCACAGATCATGTCGTGGGCAGCTCACCGGAAGACAGAGCGTGCGGAAGATCGTGCGTATTCGCTGATGGGGCTGTTTGGAGTGAACATGCCGATGCTACATGGAGAGGGGGAAAAAGCATTTCAGAGGCTTCAGTTGGAAATCATCCGCACATCCAGCGACCAAAGCATATTCGCATGGAAGCTATGGAATCTGCGGACTGGCAATGTCCTGGCGGACGATCCGAGCGACTTTCGGGGCTGTGGCAAAATCGAGAAAATGGAACCAGATGAATTTGTCGACAAACTAATGGAGTACATTAAATGGGAGGAACTCGGGCGCTCCCCGTACATCCGGCTTGGTTCGCAGAAGATCTCGACCAACCCAGTACACTGGTGCAAACTTACTTGGTTGAAGAGGTGTGCCAGGGCGGTCAGTCAGCAGCATCACGTGTCATTCTCTGTCAGCAACGCGGGTATCCAAGTGTGCCTGCTGATCATCCCCCTTCCCGACTCTCGAAACCATTTCAGGGCTATATTGGCATGCAGTAGTGGTGGTTTCGCACTGGAAACTATCGATTTGGTATTTTCTGGATCTGCGCATTGCAGGACTTCAGTTGCATCTCCCATTTCAGAGTCACATATTCTCAAGACATATCCAGAGTTCAAGGCAATCTACCTTGCTCATTACCAAGAGACCAATCAGACACACCGCGAGTTTACACTCGATGACAAACATGTCTCATACTATGATTTCACCCGCTGTGGCACCTACCCGTGCGAGTTTACAGGCAACACTGTCACACTCTCGTTCCTCGCAGATGATCTCATCGTCATTGTCTATGTCAATGACAATGCCGGATTTCACTTTGCAGTTGGCCTTGGATACTACCACGGCCAAGGATGGGTGCATGTTGTCTATGAGGGATGCTCCCCAACTCAGAAGGACTGGACACTATTTGCCCGTGAAGCATATTGTCAAATGTGGGGTGCACGCGTGGAACATGCTCGGAGTATGCCCAAACAAGAACTTGTTGATGGATGCTGCCGCAGTGACCATTTCATTAAACATGCCCATCTTCCCCGATCAATCTGGGCAGCGAGGGTGGTCTGGGGTAGGTGGGAGACAGGCAATTTCAAGATTATGGTTGATGTCGAGCAATGTCCTGGTTGCTGTGATGGGCCACATGGCTGGGAAACCACAGTTGTCAGTACTTTTCCTCCCACATGCATGCAGATCTAACCATTTGTATTATCATAGAACCCTTACCATGACCTTCAGACGCCGGGGCCCATGCACAAATGTTCCAATTCATTGGCACTGAGACTGGATGGGTGGCAGGTTGAGCTTGACGAGACTTCCGGTCAACGGATTGCAGTAAGTCATACCAGCATACTGATGCTTGTGTCGAGCCTGATACACCCAGCTGGGCGATTATGGTGACTATCGCAACGGCACTTTTATGCGTGTTGGCAATATTTTTGAGGATGCTCGCATCCTTAGCATTGACACCACGGGCTCAGCTTATTGTCCTGTGGTCTCCCATGTGTCCAGCCCTCAAATGTCAATGGATCATACGGAGAATCAGGATGATCTTGCTGTGGCGTATCGCTTCGGGCGCAAACACCTGGCCTTACATCAACCAAAGGGCTTATCTCTGGCTGCTAATGATCAATTTGTGCGACTATTGAAAGCCTTGGCCACTCGTCTTACAGGAAAGCATTTGGTGATAACAGTCGTACAATGCTCGGAATTCTTTGGAGTCGATGATAATGGAGAGCGAAGGGATTCAGTGGACGGTGAGTTTCCCACAACAACCGTGCCCTGTTCGCCTTTCAACTTTATCAGACTTGGTACTGGACATTAATAACCACTCTACTGAGGGAGAGATTTTGACTCCGCTATGCACCATTGCAAGCCCACAAGTTTGGCGAAGAGAACTGGCTTGTGTACAGAGAAGGAAACAATTCAAGAGTATTCGGTGAGCCTGTGGAACTGCTATGCAAAGTGGTACTGACGAGGCCGCATTTCGGATGGCAGGGAGCACTTCTACGCCCTCGTGAATACGGTACCTTCCCTTCTCACACTTGGTTACTCTCTTTGATAGTCTCATCTGCAGCATCAACCTACAGGAACTGACGCTCGACACAAGACTGCAGTGCGTTGAATCACCGTGCAAACCACAATCACTCACTCTGGATGGCAAAAGAACAGGCAACGGAAAGATGGAGCGATCAAGTTCTTCTCAGACATGTTTTGTCTCCATCATCCGAGTAATTACGTCTGTTCCCATATTTTCACTGCTTCGTCCAGCTCACACTCACCATTGACTGCAGGTCGGCAAAATATTATTCTTTGAAAGGCTTCCCTCGGTGATGGGAAGTGATTCACCCAGTACGGAAGGTCTGTTCGCCAATCTAAGCATGTTTGTCTGCCAATTTACATTGCAGCTTTAGAGGATGGTTTGCTAGCACGCACACCAAAACTGTCGTGCGCCGACTGGGTGATGACATGTAACCTATCTAAAGGCAGCCATCAATCTAATACTATGCAGGACCCACACCTTGAAGTCGTGTTGCCTGTATTATGCAAGCGCTGCTATACTCTTTGTACAAAGAATGATGCACCGCGTCGGTATGCTAATGAAAAGCAAAAAGTGGAGCACGAGTTGAGGTCCATATCAGAGACTCTGGGTGCCGATGTAGGTGTTTTTATCGGCAAAAAAAGAATTAGAGCTGATGCTAACCGCAAAAAGCTACTGCAACACATACTCCTTGTTTTCGTCCATGCATACTTTGAACATGAATGCTCGTGAGTAATCTTATTGCCTTAAATCGTTTCGTTTTTTCTTCTATTCATTGCCTCCCGGCTCTAGACGGACAACTCAAGCGAGCTGCATTGAATATGACAGGTCAGCACCACATTTACCAACATTCAGCAGTTCACACCTCGAACACGATATGTAGGCAACTCTACATTCCTTCCATGATTGAAGAGGTAGAGGCTCTCCAAGCGAAACTCAATACAACAGAGGATGAGGATGAGCAACGAGCGCTGGAGGAGGACGTCACAGGCAAGGCAAGGGAAAGATCGACTTGTCACGTTTCGATGCTCAGCATAGTCTTAGATCCTCTGGCTTTGTCGGTGCGGGATATCTGCTGAAGTAGAGCAACTGTTACCGAAGGCGAGTCACTAGTCAACCCTATTGTCTCCACAGATGTCATTTGACATGGTTCAGGTTGTGGATTACATTCGGCGAGAAGGAAATATGAAGGTCAGCTCCTTCACATACCCGAACGCCATCGTAACCGCCGTCAGCAGGGTTTAAGGGAAATTGCCTTTGCTATGTCTTCAACAGACCCAGGTGATGATCAAGCTCACTTGCAGCGGTAAGCAGCGTCATTGGCATATCGCACCGTTATAAATCCAAGAATTCATATTGCTCTAGGATCATGTTTGATGCAGGAGCAGGCACGTCAAAACATCAGTTATGGCTTGCCGCTCGGGCAGCAGAGCAAGCCAAGTGGTCTAGAGATACCCACGTTGTGGACGACCCAGGTTCTGCTCCGAGTACAAGCAGTCAACCGCCCTCCGCATCAGTGGTTTAGCAAACTTGGATGTTGTGTAACCGTTATCCCGAAGGGGTGGGAGTGATGATGGTAAGTATGTCACTTTATTTTTCGTTCGGATAAATTCAACTCGTTGACCAGTGATGACGATCGTGATGTTAAACGAAATGATGTAGCCAATACTATGCATTGGCCAGCTCCTTACTGTGACAAGTTTCCTCACCTGACGTTGTAATGGTACATCAATGTTTGTACGTGATGTATGCTCTTGTATATGAAACAATCCCAGAGAATCCAAGGGGTGATTAAAAGCACCTTGACTGTAGCAGGGTCATTTGTGTATCAGTTCTGTTCTGAAGTGACTCCCCGAGTGTAACAAGCTGCTACCTTCCGTATGTACAAGATCACTAGCGCACCTCAGATACCTAGACGCAATGAACACGCATGTTTCAGACCTTCGATCCTTGGTTATGAACCACGCGGTGAACCTGTTCGATCAGGTAAATCTAATAAATATAAAATAACTCTAAGAACTGTTCCCCGAGCGCTGTCCATGACGTGTTTCTAGGAGAATGGACACCGCTCCACGCGTGCTCGATATAAATAAGTGGATCAAGCTCCTCCAGATCCTCTATATTTACACCTTCAGGGGGGTCGGAACCAGCAGCATGGAGTAACATATCACACTCAATCGACCTACAAGCGCGGAACGGAAAGAAACGTACCTGGACCTTACAGATCGAGCGGACCTGGTTCAATTCGTATCCCGGTCTGTCACTGAGGTCCCCTTCCGTGATGTGTCTACCTATATCTCCGGAATGGTTATGGGTGTCACTTACCGCTGTTGTGGTATATGGGGTCAACCACTGAAAGTAACAGAGTCAGTTAGCCCAGACGAAGTACTGCTGCATATTCAACACCTTACTTGATCCTGCACGTTCGGAGACTTGAGCTGCGGGGAATCTTTGTTCACGGAAGGGCTTTCTGACAGGGACACATGAGTGGTCATGTTCATATGGAGGGTCAGAAGAGCACAGTACTGCGCTAGATGATTGCCACAGCAGACAGTGGGGGACCCAACTGTGAGTTCAGGATTGAAATGTTGGAGACAAGCTGTGTCACTTTAAGGATGCAGATGCCGAGAAGATATGCAAGTGCACACCGCACACAAAGCTAATACCGACGGTTGCGGGAAACTCAGTTGAGGAGTCTCAACGGGAACATGATACGCAGATATATCTGCCTGGATCATGAGAGGAATATGGACACCTCTCTCACGTAGTTCCCCCTTATGAAACATCCACGAACCCATGGTTAGAAGAAAAAAGCAACGTACAAGCATATGTCCTCGATCCCAATATACCCTATTATCCTCCTGCAAAGACAACTATAGTTATACTATTTTGCTTCTTTCATGGTGTGATGAGCTTTCCAGAAATGAGGCAGACAGGTGGACAGAGGATATGTACAGCAACAACACCGGAGTTGGCAGCGCAATAGACGAAAGAAGCTGGGCCAAGCGTCTCGCCCTCAAGCAAGACAGTCTGGCCGCCAGGATACGCAGTATGCTTCCCCGAGACCCGCGTCGACGAAATCGGCGACTTCAGCATCGTACTCGGGGGTCCGGAGGGGCTTCTCGATGGATGATTCTGCATCTAGGCTGGTTGTTGTGATCCATCTTCTCGCAAGTGTAAAGAGACTACTGAGCCCTTGTCGACAGTGTTCGGGAGTAGCTCGCAGCAAGTGACATCAGAGATCTTGAAGTCGGACCGCTGGTCGAATATTCCAAGGAAATTGTGCTCGAGACACAGTACTTGTTTAGAATTCATCCTTGCGTTCCGGCGGTACGTAAGTTGTCAGTTGACACCCTGTTTCACTTCCGTCACAAACAATATTGACGCCTTTCTACCACGCCCGGGCTACTTAGATGCCATGCGATATCTCCTTGCCTTGCAAATTGCAGGATGCACGTACCACAGAAGCCAAGGAAGCTTCGGAAACACGAGACATTGAGGCGATGGACAGGTTGTTGAGAGTTGCCAGTGAGTGTAGCTCATCAAAAAATAGCGATAGTCTCTAAACCCGTCAGGGGCAACGGTCCAACCGAGCCTACCACAGGTTCGCAACCTTCTTCCCCGCCGGAATTGAAACAGAGTTAATATTGTCACATTGCCGTGTAGTATCATACCCGTCAGGAAGCCAAGTCACTGGTCCGAAGCCTTCCTCAACAACGCAACAAACTCGGTATCTGCGTCCGGAATTCCACCGCCTCCGCCCTCTCAGGAGACAATGCCTCCCAGGTGTATGCACGACACCTACTCCCAGATCGTCCTTCCCTTTGCTTCGTCGCTAGACTTGTTTGAGTAGTATACGAACGCGTCTGGCGGGTTGTGCACTGGTATGCTCATGGAGCACCTTGGCTCGCTTGCTGGGTCAAGGACATATAAGCACATGCTCGGGCCGAGCATGGAAACTTTGGGTCGCGTGCAAGAGAGAGGGTTTTACATTGTCACGGCTTCTGTTGAGATGAGTTCATGTTTGATGGTCCGGTGCACTAATTCAAGGCGGGTAGGCTAGACATGCTTGCCTCTTTCTATCCTGTCAGGGGCACTCGTCTTAGTGGTCAAGAAATATACACTGGTAAAAACTTCATGGAGGTTGTCGTCAAAATGGAGGCGCTCGATCCAGATGGAGGAGGGGAGACGCTGATGCTTGGTGTGGACACACCTTTCTTGTCTTCCGTGCTAGACTCGCGCGCACAAGGCACATCCGGCTATCTCGCTGATAATCAGGACACCGGAGGAAGAAGCACTTTTACAAGATAGACGAAAGTCAGTCTCTTGTGATACTTTTCCCGTCCGTTTTGAGTGTTCATGACACGAAAAGGCTCGAAAGAACGGAAGAAATACGTTGTCCATCAAGCACTGTCATGTGTCCCACCAGATTCAGTTGTAGCAGCGGAATTGCACGCGACATATCTCAAATGTGGCCAAGAAGAGGATTCTTTGGCGCGAAGTGACAGGGTGTGGATGGGTGATAGCTTGTTGGAAAAGCAATGCTAATGTTCTCTCAAGAACGCAAGTTAAGCCGAATGCACGAAGACCAGAGATAATCTGCTGATGTACCCACGGCGTTCAGCAGAAAGTATTTGGAAGTAAGACGTTCCCGTGCGCAATATAAGCAACCTCGTCATTCCTATTGACCAGGATATCTGCCGGCGGTATCGATTTGAACGGTATGAACCACATGAAGGCCTGGAATTAGCTGATAATACAATTACATCGTTTTTCCTTGGTTGCAGAAAAGGCTGCCATCAGTCTTTGCGGTGGAAGACGAGAGTGGCAGGACGGTCGTCGTGGGTTGGGTTACCGAGACTCCCGTGGCGGGCTTGGTCGGTGAACTTGTTGTGACGGGTGCAGACGAGTATTTGTTAAGAATCTGGGTGTGAAGTCTAATCAAAATATCGGCTCCGTTTCCTGATGTTCTTGATATACCAACCGTGCACCAGCGTAGATCGCTCCTGAGAAAGACTTCCATGCGTGGTCGTGGCGCACTCCGGGAAATTCCGACGCTATTGACTAGCCAGGTCGAGGGACCAGCGAAGGACTGCTGGCCGGGATGCGATGGGATGCATCGGCAGCACCAGACTGGCCAGAGGAGCAGTCTTTTGCTGGGAGACGCTGACGACGTCACTTACGTAAGCTCCATGACTTGGATAATCAATTGACCAGACACGTGACGTTCTCGGTGAGTGAATATCATTCCGACTACCCAAGATAGCCCGATGTTCCTGCAAGGATGACTAGAGTCTATCGTGTTACGACCTCTCCCGCGTTCTATCACATCGGTGTACGCCCTTCCCTCCTGCCCCAATCACACCCACTTTCCCGCCGCTCTTCACCCCAAACTCTGTGCCGCACTCACATTTGGCTCTCCCTCGCGGGTGCTTTTTAGCACATACACATCCGAAACTCTTCAAATGGAATAGAAAACGAATCTAATGAAAATGGAGTGCAGGTAGCCATTGAAGACTACTTGTGGGGGTGTCGGTGCAGGCGAGACGCTGCACACTCATATTGGAAATGAACGCTCTATGGTATGCCTTTCTACCGGGTCTTAATTGCCCTATGGAGAGTTGGATCGTCATAGGGGTTAGTCGTCTACATCTCGTTCTCGTTCTCTTCTAACATCCGGAATGATCACAGACAACGCGACTACTAGTTGGATGGTCACCTAGTGACCGTAGATCGCGTCGGAATATCCTCATAACAGGCCCGTCCACGATGTGTCACGCACAAAATCCGACAAAGTGAAGATCGGGTACTGACTCACACACGACCATACTCAAGTCCATCCCTGAATGTTTGAGTGACGAACGCTTCCTCAACCACCCCAAGAAAATATCTTTCGGGATGCTCACGGAACCGAAGTACTCTACAGAAGCTGTGCAACCTTGCCACCATAAATACGCACAAGCGAAAGGCGCAGATTTCGAGACGGATTGGATGCACTGCGATTTATATGTTGAGAAACCGAGGTATTTTTTCTACGGGTTCACCTCGCCAAAGTTCATACCAGCTGTTGCTGGGCAAGAGCATTGAACACCGTTGCATACCCGAAACTCGATGGTTCGACAGTGGTTAAGCATTCCTCCAGCATGTCTTCCAGCTATCGTCTCTCCTGTGAGCTGGTCTACCGGGAAACCATATCGTTCACCGTGCTGCCTCCCGGACAAGTCGACCAGTCGCTAATAGTTTTTTCGTCACAATATGCTAGCCCACCCTTGTTACAAGGAGAGGTATGCGGGAGCGAACGAGCACGTCGTCGAGCCGGACTCTACATTACCAGCGTCTGCCCTTCACCGATCATTGCTGCTGATATTGATAAAGTCTCCCTCGGGAAACGTTGTCAATCTTGTTACTGACCCCCTCGGCTATCATGGCATGTCAAAACCTCGTGCCAAAGGGAGCCCGGGAAGTCGTCCTTCCGCGTTTACCTGGGTTACTCCCTCTCGCAGATCCGCGCTCTTTATTGTTCAGACCCCACGATGCCATTCCTCGCTAATCCGAAAGTGTTGCACGGAGGAAGGTTGCAACAAGGACAATATATGCCTGAGCGAATTTCTTGTCATGGCTCGTCGTATTCACATCTCCCAACTGACGATCGATGATCTTTGGCATGCCCAGTTTCCGTCTCGTATCGCGACAACGCATCCCATCACGAGGGACGCGTGCCTCGAACCGTTTTTTCAGCAGACTAGTGGGTCAGTAGTAGATATGCATATCCTCACATAGGTCACTATTGTACTGCAAACCCTGCGACCTTGGTCGACTCAATTTTTGGATTGCCATCCGGGAGGCAAATTGGTGACGTGACATACATGGGTAGGTCTGATACAAAATGTACTAGCATCTGACTGCCGCATTCAGTCGGTGCACTGCTCCTGGGGCTATGTGTAATTCGTACACCGTCAACCGAGAGATTTGTAGGGTACCACCCAGATGTGCTTACAATAATTGTTGTGCGTTTTTTCTGTCCGCGCTACTGGGGTCGCAAATGGCTCTGTCAGTAGAGATACTGTAGATTCTTGAGAGTCTCGTCGCCTCATGTTCTCGATCAGCTGTGTAACTGTCGACATCGAGCGCCCGCCACTACCGGATTTAGGGTACTTTTCTCGCATAGCCGCAAACCTGGCGTTCACATCCAATGCTGTACTCCCTCGTACTTAAGATCTGTGACCAGCAACCAGTATCGGTCTTCCATTTGCTTTCCACCGTACACTCGAAGCTGACCACGTGGAAGAATAGCTTGTGGGCTCAGAGTATGTGTGGTATCTAGTTGACACGTTGAACTTTGCGTTGACTCGTGAAGAAGATGAGGTTACTAGACGTGAATGCCGTTCTGGACCGGGAAACGCACATCCAGCAGGCCGACCCGGAACGTGAAGTCCTGAAGGAGAATAATAGCAAAGGTACTCGTTATGCCATACTGTCACATCGCTGGGGCGACGAGGTCGGTTATGAAGAGATGACTGGGCTGATGAAGATGGAGGAGCATAAGAGGGACAAGGTCAGGCAGCGCTCTGGCTACCAAAAGATCATCAAGAGCTGTAAGCAAGCCGTGAAGGATGGACACGAGTGGTTGTGGATCGATACCTGCTGCATCGACAAACGGAGCAGTTCAGAATTATCGGAGGCCATTAATTCGATGTATCAGTGGTACCAGAACGCACAGGTCTGCTATGCATACCTCAGTGACGTTGACGAGTTACCCCGGCCTACTAAGCCATATCACATCAGGTCGTTCCGCGAGCGCAACGGTTGGCTGGGACCAGAATGGTTCACGCGGGGGTGGACACTGCAGGAGCTCATCGCACCGAGGGAACTCGAATTCTTCAACAAGGAGTGGGTTCCCATTGGCAACAAACGACACCTGGCAGTAGTCTTAGAGGACATCACGGGAATCCCACGTGAGGTTCTGAGAGACGGCCTGAGTACGCAGCGTCTCAGCGTCGCACAAATCATGTCGTGGGCAGCCCACCGGAAGACGGAGCGTGTGGAAGATCGGGCTTATTCGCTGATGGGGATGTTTGGAGTGAACATGCCGATGCTATATGGAGAGGGGGAAAAGGCATTCCAGAGGCTTCAGTTGAAAATCATCCGTAGGTCCAGCGACCAAAGCATATTCGCATGGAATCGATGGAAGCCGCGGACTGGCAGTGTCCTGGCAGACGATCCGAACGACTTTGGGGATTGCGGCGAGATAGCGAAGGTGGAACCAGATGAATTTGTCGACAGACTAATGAAGTACATTAAATGGAATGAACTTGGCAACCCCTGGTATATCACGCTTTGTTACCGGAAGATCTCGACCAACCCGATACACTGGTGCAGACTTGCATGGTTGAAGAAGCGTGCCCGCGCGGTCAGCCAGCAATATCACGTATCATTCTCTGTCAGCAATTCGGGTATCCAAGTGTGCCTGCCCGTCATCCCCCTTCCCGGCTCTCGAAATCATTTCAGGGCTATATTGGCATGCAGAGGGTTTACGGGTCTGCAAACTATTGATTTGGTATTCTCCGGATCCAGATATCACAGGACTCCAGTTGCTTCTCTCATTTCAGAGTCGCACATTCTCAAGACATATCCAGCGTTCAAGGCACTCTCCCTTACTCATCACCAAGACGCCGCCAATCAGACATACCGCGAGTTTGCACTCGACGACAAGCATGCCTCATACCATCATTTTACCCGCCGTGGTACCCACCCGCGCGAGTTTACAGGCAACACTGTCACACTCTCGTTCCTCACGGATGATCTCATTGTCATTGTCTATGCCAACGACGATGCCAGATCTCGCTTTGCAGTTGGCCTTGGATACTACCATGGCCAAGGATGGGTGCATGTTGTCTATGACAAACCTGCAACTCAAAAGGACTGGACGCTCTTTGCCAGTGAAGCATATCGTGGAATGTGGAATGCGCGCGCGGAGTATGCTCGGCATATGCCCAAACAAGAACCTGTCGATGGACGTCGCAGCAATGACCACTTCATCAAACATGTCCACCTTCCCCAATCAATCTGGGCGGCGAGGATGGTCTGGGGTAGGTGGGAGAAGGGCAATTTCAAGATCATGGTTGATGTCGAGCCATGTCCTGGTTGCTGTGATGGGCCACACGGATGGGCAACAACACTTGTCGGTACTTTTCCTCCCACATGCACGCAGATCTAACCATTTGTGTTATCATAGAATCATTACCATGGCCTTCAGACGCCAGGGCCTATGCACATAGGTTCCCATCCATATTCGCTGAGACTGGATGGGTGGCAGGTTGAGCTTGACGAGTGTTCTGGTCAACGGATCGCGGTAAGTTGTGCGAGCATACTCATGCTCGCGTCGAGCCTGATATACCCAGCTGGGTGATTATGGCGACTATTTCAATGGCACTTTTGTGCGTGTTGGAAATATTTTTGAGGATGCTCGCATCCTTAACATCGGCACCATGGGCTCAGCTTATTGCCCTGTGGTCTACCGCATATCCAGCTCTTCACGATGGTATCATACGGAGAATCAGGATGATCTTGCTGTGGCATATCACCTCAGGGACGACCACCTGGCCTTACATCAACCAAAGGGCTTCTCTCTGGCCGCTAACGATCATTTTGCGCTACTGTTGAAAACCCTGGCCACTCGTCTTGCAGGGAAACATTTGGTGATAACAGCCGTACAATGCTCAGAATTCTATGGAGTCGATGATTTTGGAGAACGAGGACATTCAGTGTATGGTAAGTTTTCCACAACAACCGTTCCCTATTCATCTTTCGACTTTATCAGACTCGGTACCAGACAATAATAACCACTCTGCTGAAGGAGAGATTTTGACTCCGCTATGCACCGTTGCAAGCCCACAAGTTTGGCGAAGAGAAATGCCTTGTGTACAGAGAAGGGAGCAATTCACGAGTATTCGGTAGGCCTATGGAATTGCTATGCGAAGTGGTACTGATGAGGATGTATTTCGGATGTAGGGACCACTTTTATGCTCTCGTGAATACGGTACCCTCCCTTCTCACACTCGGTTTCTCCATTTGATAGCGTTGTCTGCAGCGTCAACCTACAGGAACCGACGCCCGACACAAGGCTGCGGTGCGTTGAATAACCGTACGAACGACAGTATTCACTCAGGACGGCAACAGAATGGGCAACAGAAAGATGGAGCGATCAAGTTCTTCTCAGACATGTTTTGTCTCCGCCATCTGAATAACTACGTCTGTGCCCATATTTTCATTGCATCGTCCAGTTCACACTCATCATTGAATCCAGGTCGGCAAAGTATTATTCTTTGAAAGGCTTCCCTCGATGATGGAAAGTGACTCACTTAGCGACGTCTCTGCAGGTAGTGCGGAAGGTCTGTTCGCCTAACTAAGCAGGTTTGCCTGGTTTGTCTGCAGACTTACATTGCGACCTTAGAGGATGGTTTGCTAGCACGCACACCAAAATTGTCATGCACCGACTGGGTGATGACGTGTAACCTATTTAAGGGCAGCTGGCAATCCAATGCTACGCAGGACCCACACCTCGAAGTCGTGTTGCCTGTGTTATCCAAGCGATGTCACACTTTTTGTGCAGGGGGCGTTGCACCACGTCGGTATGCTAGTGAAAAGCAAAAAGTGGAGCGCGAGTTGAAGTCCATATCGCAGACTCTGAGTGCTGGTGTAGGTGTTTCTATTGGCAAAAAAGAATTAGGGCTGATTCTAACCACGCAAAGCTACCCCAACACATACTTCGTGTCTTCGGCAATGCATACTTGAGATACAGATGCTTGTGAGTAATCTCATTGCCTCAGATCCTTTCCTTTTTCTTCTATCCATTGCTTCCTGGCTCCAGACAGACACCTCAAGCGAGCCTCATTGAATATGACAGGTCAGCACCATATCTACTAAAATTCAGCAGTTCACGTCTCGAATGTGATATGCAGGCAACTCAACATCCCTTCCATGATTGAAGAGGTAGAGGTTCTCCAAGCGAAACTCGATGTTACAGTGGATGGGGATGAGCAACGAGCGCTGGAGGAGGACGTCACAGGCAAGGCAAGAGCAAGATCAACTTGTCACGTTTCGATGCTCAGGATAGTCTTAGATCTTGTGGCTATGTTGGTGTGGGATATGTGCTGAAGTAGACCAACTGTTACCAAAGGCGAGTCAACCTCATTGTCTCCGCAGATGCCATTTGACATGGTTCAGGTTGTGGATTACATTCGGAGAGAAGGAAATATAGAGGTCAGCTCCATCACATGCCTGAACGTTGTCGTAACCGCCGTTATCAGGGTTTACGGGAGATTTCTGAGATGGTGTTTCCGCTCACGTTTGCAGACCCAGATGACAATCTAACTCACTTGCATCGGTAGGCGACCACATCACGTCCATATGAGTTACTGAACATACTGCGTTTCAGGATCATGCTTGATGCAGGCGTAGGCACGTCGAAACATCAGCTGTGGGTTGCCGCTCGGACTGCAGAAGAAGCCAAGTGGTCAGGTACAGCTAGGAATATTCCTGCTCTAGACAACCAGGGTTGCATCCCGAGTACATGCACTCAACCCCCGTCCACATCAGCAAACACAGGTATTGGTAAGTACTTCACTAATTCTGTCTGATCAAATCAACTCATTGATAAGTGGTGACGATCTTGATGTCAATGGGAACGATGTAGCCAATATGAACTAGTTAGTTGTTCACTGTAACATCCTTGCCTAGAGTTGTAATGGTAGATCAATATATGAAATGTAACCTTCTGTGCATGAAGTGATGCAAGGGGTGATTGCAAGCACCTTTACTCCAAAGCGGTCAGCTGTGTTCTAGTCCACGCAGTCCCCTTCTAAACTGGCTCTCGAAGCTGTTACTCTTTGTGCATGTGTACAAGGAGACGTGAGTTGATCACTGGTGCACCTCATACATATGTCAGCACTGACAACGTATGTTTTAGACCTTCTTTCCTTGGTTATGAATCACGTGGATGAACCTGTCCAGTCGGGTAAGTGTAAGCTACACAAACCCATATAAAAGCATTCTTATTTCCAGGAAAATCGACACCACTCCCCACGTCTGCGATACGAATATTCAATCAAGCTCCTCCGAATCCTCTTTGACACCTCCAGGGAGATCGAAACCGGCAGCATGGAGTAACATAGCGAGCCTGGGGAGTTGCATGCGGTTAATCAACTGCATCACCGCAAAACAGAAGGAGACGTACTTGGCCCTTACAGATCGGCCAAACCTGGATCAGGTTGTATCCATGACGCGCCTACGCATATCTCCGAGATGGCTATGGGTGTCGCTTACCGCTGTTGCGGTACATGGGGTCAGCCACTGAAAGCAAAAGCAACAGAATCAGTTATCCCAGACGAAGTACTGCTGCATATTTAACAGCTCACTTGATCTTGTACGTTCGAAGACTTGAGTTGCGAGGACTCCCTGTTCATGGAAGGACTTTCCACCAGGGAATGTGAGTAATTATATTCACGTGAGAGGGCTGAGGGCACTGTACTGTATCAGCTGATCGCTACAGCAGACAGCGCTGGACCTAACTGTGAGTTCAGAAGTGTATATGGCAGAAATGTTGGTGACAAGGTGTGTCACTTCAGAGGTGCCGACGCCGAGAAGATATGCACATATGTGCACGCCGCATAGAAGGCCAACACGCACGGTTACGGAAAACTTAGTTGAGGTTCGACGGGAGCATGATACGCAAGCATATGCCTGCATCATGAGAGTTCTATTCACATCTCTCTCGCATAGCTTTCCCTTACGAATCATTGACGAATCCATGATTTGGAGGAAAAAGCAACGTACAAGCATATGCCTTCGATCCCAATATACCTTATCCTTCTCTGGCGAGGGCAACTAGTTGAAAATTAGTCCTAAAGATTGTACCACTTTGCTTTATCTGTCGTGAGGTAATGTCGAGAGTTGAGAAACGTCGTCGTTTCCGCATGGCGCCTAGGAAGTGGTGCATGTTTGAAGCAACTAACAATGCCTGTAAAAGTTTCCACCCACACGATCTGTACCGAAAGAGCCAAGGGAATCATGACGTCCAGAGATTTATCAAACGACGTCGGGAGCGAAGCCCTCCTAAGAAAGGCCTGCATGAACCTGTACGCTGCACTGAAACTGTGTCTTCAACCACTCAGCAGCAACCCTTGAGCCGTGGTCGAACGAACGCCTAGAAGCAATGCCCGTCGTTCGGTCTTCGTTGGTCAAGTATCGGTTGTATCTGCACATCTGTTCCACAGAGATCCCGTTGACGATGCCTACTGCCAGAGCGTCGAAACGGAGGGAAACGAGGGGGTCGCGAACACGAAAAGGGGAGGTACAACACAGGCTATGCGGAGACAGGCGAAGCTTTCCAGATGCAGGCAGACAGCTGGACATGATATGTTCAGCGACAGCATCGGAGTTGGCAGTGTGATAGACAACAAAAGCTGGGCCAGGCGTCTCGCCTTCAAACAGGACGACCTGCCCGCCGGGATACGCGATATGTTTCCCAGAGAGTAACCAGTCGATGAAATCCGCAACTTCAGCTTCATATTCGGGGGTCTGGAGGGGCGTCTCGATGGATGGTTTCTGTATCCAGACCGGTTGTGGTCCGTCTCCTGGCAAATGCAAAGAGACCACTGAGCCATTGTCGATAGTGTTCGGGAGTAGCCAACAGCGAGTGAAGTCGGAGATCTTGACGACGGACGACAGGTCGAATATTCCATAGATATTGTGCTCAAGACACAGTACTTGTTCAGAATTCAAGACTCATATTCATCCCGGCTGCATTGCGGCGGTACTACATAACCTCACGTAGCTCTTGGTGTAGACAGTGGGTGCATTTCACGCCCATTGTCCAAGATACTTACGGTGTTTTTCATACCAGCGATCAACTCCCGTGTACTTGTGTGGACAACCGCAATTTGTGGCCTCTGACATCTCCCGATGCATACACAGATGCATCATCTCTCTCCCCGATGTGACATTGTTAGCACCTCGCGGACTCCTCGTGCACCTGTCCCGCCCGTTTTCAATTTTGTTCACTGGTTTGTCATGCACTTCACTTTTACACACTATGGTGCAGGCAAACCAATACGTCAAGCTCACGTTTGGCACTCTCTTCCACAGGCTCGCGGGCACGTTCTAGCACGTATCCATTCGGAACTTGCTAAGCGGAGCAGAACAAAAATCGAGTGGAAATGGTAGGCATTGATGATTACGCTGTCGTGGTGCAGACACAGACGCGATACTGTGGACTCATGTTGGAAAATGAACGCTCTATAGTACGGCTTTCTACCGGGTCTTAATCGCCCTAGGGAGAGTTAGATCGTCATAGAGGTTAGTTGTCTGTATTTCATTCTCGTATCGTTCTAACATTCGGAACGATTGCAGACCACCCGACTGCTGGACGGACACCTGCCTAGCAACCATGGATGGCGTCCCGATATCCCTGTTACAGGCCCGTCTACTATGCGTCGCACACGAAATCCGACGAAGCGAAGAACGGGTACTGATTGGCACCCGGGCATGCCCAAGTCCATCCCTGATCGTTTGAATGACAAATGCTTCCTTGACTATGTACTCCATGAGATTGTCTTTCGCGATGCTCATGGGACCGAAGTATCCTGAGAAGCCATATAATCTTGTCGCCATAATTCCTACAAATGGGAGGCGCAAAGCTCGTAAGAGCCAGTTCGGAAACCGGTGTGCAACCCATTGCCGACACACGTGTCGGTTAACATGCCCGGGATGCTCCATGAACTACAAGGCAGAGTTTCAACCTTCCTTCCAACTATACAACGATGATCGCTCGTTGATATGATGACCTCAAACCCATTATCACTCGTATTGCTTCTGCTATGCTTTGCATTGTACATGTTGCTGGACTCCTTGTTCTTTTAGAATCAGATCAGGAGCCAGGAATGATGAGTAGTCACAAGTGGACTGATTCAGAGACTCATGCTCTCCTTGACTACCTCATTGAACACTGGTTGGAACAAGGTGATACAGGCAACTTCAAATCCAGTGTATTTTCTAGTGCTGCTGCTGTGATTGCTCCACCTAACTTGCCCCCCACAAGAACTGCTCAGCAGATTCAAAATAAATGGTGATGGGTAAGTGCATCCTCCTCACACTGATAGCCTTGACTGATATTGTTATTAGTTGAAAGGGGTCTATAATTCCATCAAAGGCTTCATTCAACACTCTGGGTCTGGCTCATGGGATGAACATTTTGGTGCCAATATTGTCACACCAGCTGAAGAGAATGTATGGAATAGCTATGTTGCAACCAATGTATGTTGTCCCCTATCATCAAGTGTATCAGTTCATCTAACATGAATAAATCAGAGTGGATGACATATCCTGCCCTATAAAAATGTGGGATGGCCATTTTACATGAAGATGGCACAGATCACCCCATCAGGAGGGGCACAAGGTGCTAATGTGTATGCACCATTGGAGGCCCCCTCATCCAACTGGCCCCCAAATTGGCTCGAGGATGAAGATCAAGAAACATGGCCAGGTAACTTCAATGAGCCTTCCAACAGTAACATCAGTGGCACAAAGCCAGCTCCTGATCCCTTGTATATTGACTTCATGGCTGAATTTCCCACATTTTTTTCCAACCCTTTGCACCCTGATCCACTGATTCCATCTGCATCACCCAGTGTCTCAGTGCCCATTGTGGTCCTGACTCAGGGGGTGGGCACACCATCAGCCAGCATCCCAGCATACCCTCCCTTCCCAATGAAGGGGCTGGGCATGTCTTCAGGGAGAGTCAGTAGGACTGGTAAGGAAAGATGCACATTTTCTTCTGGGCCCTATCCAACTTTGTACACTTCTACCCCACCCCCATCACATAAACCATCTTGTGGGTCTGGTCAGTCATCTGCCTGGTCCTTTGGTCCTCCTAGGAATCAACAGCCAATTCTACCCAAACTCTCAGCTGGGACTGCAGTGTTTGGTCTGACTGGCACTGTCAACCACATGACCAATCTCCTGGGTTTGATATACCATGACAGTGCAAATGCAAGTGCTGCCTCACCCATTCCCACCCCCACCCCCACCAGTTCTGTTGACCACCTTTCCAAGGCATTGACCCTTCTGTCCACTGAGGACTCCTCACTACCAGTTGAGGTAGGTGCATTTATGGTGCACACTGTTACTGCAGATGAGAAGAAGGCAATGATGTATGCATCCATCACAAATACCACTCTTCGTCAAGCTGTCACCAACCAAGAGTATCAATGATCAATCACTGGTCATCTGCAGGAAGGTGGTGTTGATCAGGGGGGACCACTTTGAATTACAATGTAGCTGCATATACTTTCCATACCGACATGTACCTCTTTCATTTGTTGTTGTAATTCATGCTGTTTCAGATGACTTATCAAGAGTAATCACTGGAATTAAGTCTTTACATTAAAAAAATGTACATGGAAGGGCAGTAGTTCCTAGGTATATTCCCCACCACTTACTTATCCTCAGCACCATCCACATCCATGTCAGACTCATCTTCAAGGAGCTCCATGTCTCCCACTGCCTCTCTTGCCCTCAGGATGGCCTGGTAATTGATCCACATTGCCTTGGTGATTTGATCATGCAACACGCATGCCTCCAGATGTTCTCCATTGCCTTCCAGTACACTAGGCCCCTCCAACCCATCACCACCTTGCACACCTGTGTCAAATGGAGCACCAAAGTCTTCTGGAAGTTTGCCTTTGAATGGATCATGGATGTGGATGAAATTATGAAGGGCACAAAGTGCTGCTGGCAGCTGCACTTGTGTCCAGAGATCAAATGGTGGAACTAGTGAAAGGATACAAAAATGATGCTTTATGACACCAAAAATACATTCAATAACATTGTGGGCCAACACATGCTGCAAGTTGAACAATTCTTGCTTGTTTGCAGGCCTGCAGTTTTCATCAGTAGGATGGTCAGGGGATCATAAGTGTGATTACTTACCTTATGCTAGCATGGCCCCATTCAGCTAAATGGTAGTGTACACCATGGTATGGAACAAGCAGTGTTTGGTCTGCAGGAAATCCAGCATTTGCAAGCAAAAACTTTCCTTCAGGAATCCTCAAGTCATGTGTGGTCACATATTCATAGACACAGGCATCTGCTGCACTGCCCTCCCAGCCTGTAAGAGAGTATATAAACCATAAGTCAAAATTGCATGTGAAGAGACAGTTTTGGGAAATATATCCCTTGTGGTTCTGGTAGTTTGAATGTACATAGGCAGGGGGAGATGCATAAATATGGCTTCCATTGATGGCACCAATAGCATTGCAGAAGTATGGCCAGAATTTTTGGTTGTTTTGGATCTTTGAAGGAACAGTATTGCTAGCTGGAAATTGAACATAGTCCATATAAGAAGGTTGTGTTGCAAGTGTGGTGAGTATCATATGGAAATAACTGGAAACTCCATGCAGTAGTTACATCAGAGGAGTGTTAAATACATACTGTGAAATCATATCATTCAACTGTTGAAAGCACTCCCCTACATGCCTGAATGGCAGGCCAGTGATGCATGTATACAGGAATATCACAAGTTGTTCCTCGAGAGAAACAAACCTTGAATTCTTGAGTCCAAGCTGCAAAGCGATGATAAGCTGCTGGAAAACCTCCATGTGCATCCCAAGTTCACAATGAATGTGTTCTGGGTGACCTGCAAGCAGTTCCTGTTACACCCATGTCAGGGGTCTTTCTTTTTTCGACTTCTTGCAGTCACATGCATCACATGCCTTGTCATGTCTCTCATAATCATCACCATCCTAGGGGTTCATATGCTGTGAGGCTCCTTCAGATCTCCAGCTGTCAAGGTATTTCCAATACCTGTTGAGACTGTGCCTCCTGTTTGATCCAGTATTCCACTGCCCTCTCTGATGGACAACATGTTATGTTCTTACTTTGCTGACTCATTTCTGACTCATTCCTGACTTGTTTATGTTGCTCTGATGCTGTACTATAGCTCCAGTGTCTGGCTCCTTGCTGCACATTGATTGCACAGCTGGTATAGCCTTTGTCCCCTTGTCTACCCCCATCATATGACACCATATGACTCCCTCTGACTTATTTATTTGACTGATTGTTTTGTTGATTACTGTGGATATGCATTGTGACACATCTAGTCATGACTGGTACAGTACTTGTACTTAGGGGTATATAAACTCATGTATAGTACCTTGTATCCTCAGTTTTTTGATAGCTTGCAACTCAGCTTCATCCCTTTGCTTTCATCCTTGTTCCCTCTCTGAGTGACTACCCTAGAGGATCACCAGAAGAGTGAACCTCTGTTGGACTTCAGCAATAACTGAGCCATAGGGGTTACAACATGTTTGGCCTGTAGACTCCCCCTTGTGTGCTTCATGCCTATTCCATTTGAAGAAGTCACTGCACTCAGGCATAACAAAATTGAAAAACTTGTGCAGCTTTCAGGACTCATTGACCTCTTCATGCAAAGCCTACTCGTCCCTGGTTACTGAACTTCAACAAACCACTGCTCTCTTTACACATGGCTCGTTGGTCTCCCTACATGTAAAGTCTGACCTGCCTTCGCCTCACTTCCTGTAACAAGATAGAGAAGCATCCCTCTACCTTCAATCAAGTTCACCGCTCTACAGGCAGCCATTAGGCTTTAATAGATCACCTCCCTAGAGTCAGTGCTCATGCCTCCCTATGTGTAAAGTCACTCGCGCACAATCACTCTACACTGACAGGTTTCTTTTGAGAAATAAATCCTCCCTCAGCCTTTGTTGTCACTATCTGTAAAAGTGTCTAACCTGCAGAAATCAAGGTCTCCAGTCCCTCCTTGCCCTAACCCCCTTGGACTCAGTAGGAATCCTC